GCCAGCTCCGTGGCGGCTCCGCCTTGCTCAGCCGCGACTTCCAGGCGCAGCGACCGACACGCCGTCAGCTCGCTGACGAGCCTCACTATCAAGCACAGCAGCTCGGCCAAGAAGTCCAGCTAATCCAGCCGCGGCCAGTGATCCCAGCAGATCTGCTAGACCTCCTTGCAAGCTTTCAGGTTTCTCGGCGAAGCAGCTCGGCACCTGTGGTCATTTAACGCCATTGGTGATTGTCTGTGGCGTTTCCAGCAAACATCCGTCCTCGCCATTACGTTCAAGAGCCGCTAGTTGCCCAGCGAGCCCCTTTTGCAAATCCCGGCATTGAACAACCGCTGCCATAGCTTCGCCAGCCACACTCTCTTGCCGGTGCCCACCAGAAGAGGCCGCACCTTACCTCGCTTTGATTGTCTTAGGTTAATCCTTGCTCAAGGTAAGCCGAGGTTTGTCTAAATTCATTTTAGTATATGGTCTTTAGATGCATGTTATTAGTTAATAGAACCTTAGGCTATCACGATTTGATCCTTTCCTTTTGGACCTTTACATTAAGGTCGAACTCCAATCAATGATGTGACTAATTCTAATCATAACATGTATTTCGATGCATTGTCATTGCATGTCTAGAGTTTGGGGCACGTTCATAATTTGTTATCTAGGGCAATGCATTTTGGTCTTAGAGTGCATGTAGATTTAGAGTAGTTCATGGTTTTTACTAGTCGAAAACAAAAGAGAAAAAATAAAAAAAATGTTACTTGGCTTTCATATAGATTGCATGTGGACTTAGAGTTAATTTAGTCTCATATCACGTAATGCACGTCATCTAGAAAATCACATTCTTGATAATTATGTGGTGAAGATTGGAGTAACGTCATTGCATTTCATGCATCATTCATATTGCATATCATTAAAAAGACAAATATGAAAAGAGTCAGCATTGCATCATCAAGTCGATATTCTTTTAATAAATATCAAAAGGTCATATAAAGGATCCTAAGTATAATTTGCCGTTTTTGGAAATATAAAAAATAATACAAAAAATAGCATTTCATAGAACTTACATCATAGGATTAGTCCATAATTAATTCTATCTTATGTCGTGGCATCTATGGCATATCATGTCGTTAGCTTTAGGAATTGATCCCATATCGTTGCATATAGTTAATTCATTATAGCATAGCACGCAAGACATTTGGGACTTTATGTTAGTTCATCAATGCGTGTTAGATTAGTGCATATAATCATAGCATTATTTGAGTCGTGTCCATATTGCAATTAGCGAGCTCATCTCATAAACAAGAAAACATATAAAGAATGAATTGACATTACATCTTAGTTATCTCTAAATAGCTTAGGTCATGCATTAGTCATATTCATCAACATTCTCATTAATAAAATGCATTCGTCATCACATGTTTGTTTCCTAAGTCTAAACTTGCAGAATCCCCGTCTCAATGACTGTTGAATGCACATCCATTCCTGCTTGCCCATGCATTTGAGGTTCTTTAATCTTTTGAGTAATTTATTTACTGTCTTGATTATTAAATATCCCACCTTTAGGTGTTAAACCTCACATGTAAATATACATGCACATGTGTTTGTGTCATTCTACCTCCATGATCAAGCACAAATATTTTTTCGACCAAAAAACAAGTACAAATATTTTCAAAACAAGGCAGCATTTGTTTTGATTGGCACGGAATACTTTTTCATCAAGATACTTTCTCTTATAATGAAATCCCAGCGAAGGACTGCATTCTTGTTTGATCCGAAGATAAGCCGGTTGCTTTGTTTTCATTCATAGAGAGTATCACTGAAGCTCCCAATTCCCTTGTTCTTTATAATTACACTCATTTTCGTCTTTTTGTTCAAAGTAAAATGACACTCAAGGAAGAAAGGATCAGGATGTTGGTGCCCGAAGGCAAGAGAGCCGAGATGGCACACCTTCGACGTCAAATGGACGAGCTGGGCAAGAGACTGGAAGACCTGTCACATCGCATGGATAAGTTCCTTGCGAGACTAGAAGATGCATTGAACGGGGGTAAAGCCCCCAAATGTCAATCCGAGCAGCAAAGCTGAAGGTGATAAAAATGTCCAAAAAACCGGTGATACTATCTTTGCCATTGACGAGGAACTGGAAGATAGGATGAGTTCGAATTGCCCAGGATAGGTGCATATTTAATTTTTCGCATACTCCTCTGTAAAGTAGCCTTTCCTACTTTCTCGGATTTCGATTTCCTGTTTTCAATAACGTAATTCGTTCCTTTCAATAAATTGCAAGTTCATGAAAAAAATTTATATTTTGAGGGCATGTAGAAGCACATCAAAACTAGCCCTATAATGAAATCTCTTTGAGGAGGGCTGGTTTATGCACAATCCCTCCAAAATTTGTGAAAGTCAAAAATTTCAATCACAATCCTTTCCGTTTCTGGCTAAAATTAATTCTTAGCTCCAATGCATTTTGGATGGAGCTTCTGAGAAAGTCCATTTTGGACCAAAATTTTTGGTGATATGAATCATAAGATGCTCAACACATGTTTCAAATGCTCAATTACGACTTTTCTAATCACGAGAGACATAAATTGTTATACTTTTTCATTACCCGTTCTGAACTAAAAAGCCAGAGCATGGGACAATTTCCGTTTTGTAAATTGGGCAAGGACAACAAATGTCGGTGCATGCTATTGTGTTTATTTTTAAGGTTTTTAGATCTGATATGGGGGTGCAGTACAGATTCAATCACATACGCAAGTGATATAAAGAAAATTGCATGGATTGTTTTGTAATATACAGATCTTTTTTGCTAGTAAATTTATATTAAGTGTGAGTCAGTGTTAGAAAAATATTTGATAAAAGAAAATGACCGGCAACTTGGTCAAAGACCGGCAACTTTATCCATGATAAATTGTTGGTGTAACCTACCAACACTTTCACGCAGTTGCCACCTTTTTGTTATAGTTTACAATTTTGGTTTGTTTCACGCGAAAAATTGGACGTCAACAAATAATTATTCTCCATATCATCCTTCGGAATCACTTGAAAAAGATTCAAGAAAAAACATTTTTATGATTGACAAAAATTATATATATATCCATAAATTTTAAAAAAGTGATTTACGCTTCTTAAAATTCAAATTCAAATTTTCAAATTCTAATTAGATCTCTCCACTGTTGCCATCAGTATGCCCATCATCTGAACCCAAGACCTAAGAACCTGGCGCCCAAACCGGAAATCCTAAACCTGGAGCAGTACACCTAGCACCCTAGTGGTCAGATCCAAGACTCTGGGACCAAAATTAGGACCTCCGAGAGTTCGAATCACAGCCTACAAGCTAGGATACAAACCTTGGTGCCCGAACACAAGACCTCAACACTTGGACACGAGAACTAAGTGTCGACCTAGGACCACGACCCCCACACGTTGAGACGTAGGGGGCAAGCCTCCAGACCTAGGCCCAAGACTTTTTATTGTTTTGGTCGGATAGCCCAAGACTTGGACCACGGTGATCGAACCCGGAATCCTAATAAGTGGGGGACCTATGACGCTGTGGCAAGGTTCTGGATTTTGACACCCAACTCAATCTCCAATAATGTGGATCTCATAAGGGGTCACTGTCCTTCGTCAAGTCTCTAAGGTCGCAAGTTGGGCGTCAAGACCTTTGGTTCGACTCCAGATTCCTAGGTTCCCATAATCAGTTCCTAGCCTCGGGGCCTCGAATGCGTGTCTTAAGCCCGACCTTTGATATCCCAAGTCTAGGCACCGGGGTACGTATGTCTAAGGATCTTGTCGTAGTGCACTTTAATCAGGTATATTGTTCAAAAAGCATGTTTAAGGATCTTTAAGTATCAAAATGATAAATAAATAAAAAGGAGGTCTACCTCATTTGAAAAGTCCAGCCGAAATTGATTCATTGGTTTTGAAAATGCTTGCTTAAAAAAATTAATATCTAATTTCTGCAAGAAAAATTGAGCCAAGTATATTCTAAAATTCTAACTAATATTGTTTCCTTGATAAGTCTAAACTCAAACTACACAATCTAACATTCTTTTGTTCTTACGATTATGTCTTCATAATGAACATGATATATATAACCCCATTGGTTTTACCTTTTTTATGTAAGTTGACCACTCCTACTTATAAAATGTCAACGGTTTGGATCCACTTTTTAATTGGAAGAAATTATATATTCTTGATTAATCCTTGACGTTTGTTTGAATTGACACGAGACAATAAAGTTTTGTCTTAAAGCAATTATAAGAGCAAGAAGTTTTTCTCGGGAAAGTCTTTTGGTTCTCTTTGAACATGAGGTAACTGCCTACCGCATGCACACATGATTTGGGCGGCTCGGTAAATGGTCGTATGAAATTACCTAACAATCTCTCTAAAATCAATGCTTATTGGGAAATTTGTTTTGAGCAATTCATGTTGTTAATTTGTTGCTCAACCTTTGCTTAGCTTGAGCAAACAACTCATCGAGGCATACAAAAACCTAAGAAGAAAATGTAAAAAATTAATATACGTAATGACAAAACTCTGAATTAAGCAAACTCAACGATTGGGGATGAAAGTGTTTGTAAGAATTCAACACTTCAAATATGAAGAAGTCATAAAAGAATGACCAAAAGAACGTTATGACGTACCGAGTCTGATATCTTTACTCTAATCCCACATGAAAGTTGAGTACGTAATTCTGTGTACTAAGATCTAAAGTTATTTGAGAATAACACAAAGTTATATCTTCAATCTTAACGGTTCTTGGATACATTGTAGCTGATAGATCACACAAGACTCACAAGGAACCAAATGCTAATTTTACCAACATTTTTTGCTTTTGTTAGTCACTTTCTAGACGACGTGAAAGTGTTTTTTCTCCTCATTTCATATGTAGGAAACTGGCGCGGCGTTGGGGATACTGTCCGCTTTTTGGTTATTCCTGACAAACTCAAATGGAAATGAAATCAAAACACTAAATTGATGGTTTCCATTCTACAACATAAATTGCCTGATTAACTTCTCATTGATCAAAACAATGTCTTTCCAGTTTGCATAATCAAAGTACAAATTGTTCATCCCCACTCCAAAAACCAATATCCAATATGGGAAAGGGGAGTGGAGTTCCAAAATCCACCTCAGCACCCACATTCACCTCCCTCTTTCTCCTCTTCGTCCTCGTCGCCAAACCGTCATCGCTGGACGTGGATGGCGAGCTAGGCTCAGCAGACAAACGCTTGCGGCTGACCCTGACAAGCTCGTACTCGGCCTCACCGACAAGGTGAGGGAAGTTGACCTTGGCCTTGGACCCCCTCATCTTAGAAGCTGTCCGGTTATAGGCCAATGCCGCGTCCTCGGGTGTGTCGTAAGTCCCGAGCCAAATCCTTGTCCCGTTCTTCTTGGGGTCCCATATTTCCGCCGCGTATTTTCCCCACGGTCGCCTCCTTACTCCTTTGTAATGTTTCTTCTCGACCAGCGCTTGTACCTCCTGTTCCACCATCTCCAATTTCTTCTCTATTGCTGAACCAATGCTGTTATAATCTGCGGTCGTTACTCCGAAATCAAGTCCTTGATTCGAACCCAGACCAATGCTGTCATAATCAATGGTCGTCACTTCAAAATCATGTTCTTGATTCGACACCGAGGGCATTGTCCACCCAGAATTGAGCCCGTCGCACATAGCGTCGTACACCAACATGTCCGCCGAGTCGTCAACTTTTAGGGGCAGTTCGCTCCAACTCTCTATCAGTAAGATATTGCTGAAGCTTGAACTCCTTGAGTACGCGTTTGCAGGAGTTGGTGCATAAAATGTTGCGCTGACACTATCATCATCATCTTCAAAATGATGCTCACAAATGGATTTCAAAACGTTGAATCGATCGGTCTCAAAGGGACTGCTGATTTCCTGAAGCATTTTCGTTTTTGGGCTAGAATTTATAGCTTGAGATCACTGAACGTGGGAGATTGAGGGGATGATTTCGTTTCTGAAGTAAGAATGTAGAGTTGAAAAGACCATGGAAGTGGGTATATATGTTGAGCTTGACTGCTTGAGCGGTGGAAGATTGAAGGGATGGTTTTGGATGGAGCTACTGAGAAAGTGCATCTGGTGATGACTAATGAGATTCTCAAAAACATGTTTCAAATGCTCAATTGGACTTTTTTTAATCACGAAAGACGTAAATTTATATATATTTTGTTATCCGTACTGAATTAAAAAGCCAAAGCATGGGGCACACTGTTGTATTTAATTGGGGTAGGACAATGATATTTGTGCATGCTTTTTGTATCTAAATTGCAGAACTATATTGTTCTCCATTCAAATATAAGAATTCTTTTTTTTTGTGCTAATAAGTTTTTAATAAATATTGGTAAGTATAAAAAAAATTTCGTTTAAATATTTTTTTAAGAATGAACACAATCAGCGTTGAACTTTGTTCGGGACTAAGGTAATTGATTTGGTGGAAGAAAAGAATTCAAGGTAAATTAGTTACAATTTCCATAAGAGCAAATGCCAGTGGATTTACCTTGATTGAGGAAATGAAGTTTTCCTATGTTATTATACGGCAACCAAATATTGTTGTTTGCATTCTGGCCAAAAAAAAAAACGAGAAACAAAAGAAAAGAAAATCATAGTTTGCATTGTGATTCCTGATTAGAATGGTTTTTTGTTGTCAATTATTTATCGAATCGGTTACCCTCAGAAAATCATAGTTTGCATGATGGAATCAGTCCATCCAGATGCCTCAAAAGAATGAGCAGGTGATTCATTGATTTCATTTCCTTCAAATTTTTTTTTTGGTCGGACATTTGCTTCAATTTGGTTGCACTAAATTTGAAGCCGGAGAAAATATCATCTCAATTTATTCAACATATACCTGATCATTCGTCAGGAAATTATAAGAATCTCATTCGACATCTCAATATTGATCTAAATATGATGAGTGACAATGTAAATCCTTTAATGGTTTTTCACTATCGAATGATTTTCGTTTTATTTTTTGGGCGTAGCAGTCAGATGATATCTGGAGTTAGTTTTTATGTATCTAATAAATTCCACCTCCTCGGTACGGTCAAAGATGGACCATCCACATTGCAATCAAGACATCTCATGTAGTCACTATTTTCATTAACCTACTCAGTTTTTATGTTACCTAGAATTTAAACCGGGAGATGCTCTCATTGGGGTTGTTAGTAGTTACCTTTTAACCCCAGGGTTCATTGCAACTTTGGGGCGCTTCTAACCAACTCTACTAGTGAGCTGACCGGAAGAGTACACGCCTTGTTTTATGTCCCGGCAATCGGACAACCCAGAGTTGACCGGAAGAATACACGCCTTGTTTTACATCCTGGCGGCTGGACAACTCAGAGCCCCCCTATTCCCCCCTGATGTTTTTCCTCCCAAGGAGGAGGGAGTATCCCCTTTGGAGTTTTACATCCACTAAGACCTAAGGGAGATACCTTAGGAGATGTAGTCTTTTAAGGACCTACTCAGGTCCTCTAGTTTAAAGTCTTTTCAAACTCTGGAGCAGCTTTATCTTCACGGATCTTCCCTCCGTGCGGGAATACCCCCTATCGTTTTATTGTCACTAGGGGTTGGGACGAAAGACTCGGCTGGATAATCCTACCATATGGTCATCCATTTCATTGTCCTGGGAGCCTTTTAAGGTCTTGCTCAAAACCTAGCATGTTCATTATCATCAACTGCACTTTACTTGAAACTTTTTTGTTTATGTTACCCAGAATTTAAAGATAATTGTTTGGATGGATTATGTGCATAAACTAGCATATGCTATTAGAGCTCAAACTTCGCATGCCGTCTTATCGCTTCATAAAGATCAAAGAAATTGTCTTTATTAATCAAGACTTTTTATTTGGCCATAGTTCAATCGAGGACCGTAGCAAAGGTACGATAGATTTAGAAAAATCATATTGTAAAGGTTTAGAGATTTAAATTTTCTTTTGATTACGGTTTTGTTGTTCGTTCAATGTCGCATCATTACAATTCACCGTGATTTTAGTTAAAATTCATCGGGAAAAGTTATTGTATAAAGAAATTATTGTATAGATCTACGTTACCGAGATATGTATTTCTTCTAATATTTTTTCCACCTTATGTTTTGCATGATTATATATTAACCAAAAATTTCCTTACATGATGCATTAGTGATTGGAAGCGTACGGCACCACCAGATACCGAGAATCTTGATGTCTGATATTAAATTTTAATATAATAACATAGGCATGCATGCATTCTGTAATTTTATAGTCCTTGTTCAATAAAATAAAATAAAACATAAAGGAACGTGACCCATCACTTTTTTTTTTCTAATTTTGCTTGGGATAATAAGAATTAGAATGCATTGATTTATAGCTGATAATATGACATATCAAATAACTAGAATATCAACATTTGAAACATGTGTTCCAGTCTCAACCTTAATTGATTGAAGCTTCCTGGTCCAAAAGATTAAGAAAAGAGTACATTTTATGTCTGCTTTAGTCCACATTCTCAACCTATGTGTACTTCTCTTGCTTAGTCCGTTCATGGTCGCCCACGGAAAGTCTGCGACTCCAACCAAACACTCTCTTAAGAAAACAACACACAAGGAAAGGGGAAGAAATTGCTTGCGGACATTAATATTTCCGAAGAACCCCATTTTCAATTCCGACATTCTCGAGTCCATTTGCTATCATCTTCTTGATTATGACATCAACATTCACGATGACGTGTACTGTTGGAGCTCGATCTTCGCTGGTTTTGTTAAATCGCATATTAAGTTTGAGCTGTGTACAAAATTTTAGAGGATTTTGGTTTGTTCAAACCCACCTAATACTAAAAGCAACTTTGGATAATGTTGAGAAGCAAAAGGGCTGTTTTACTTATGGTTATCAGATTCTCCATTCAATAAGTCGACAGGGGACTGCTTAAGCTTCGCCCTTTGGTCGTTGACCATCCGTCACTTGGACTATGGCGAATAAGGGAGTAAACTACTCCAATGAGGATTATTTGGTAATTTGTTATTTTTGCAGTTTGGAGAAATTTCATGGGTGACTAGATATTTCAAATCTAAATTATCAAGCAATTTAATTCAATTAGAAGTCTCTACTAATTTATTATGGATCGATTAGTAACTCGAATGAGATGCAGGAGAACATCTTATTTCTGCAAATCAGAGACAGCATGGATACGGGGACTTGACGTTGAGACCTAAATTTTGACGAATCATTTAGCTATTTATTGCATAAAAAATTAGAGATCAATCTCGACCCCTAAGCAAAAATATTAGTAAATTGCATATATATTATTTTGAGGATTTCAATAATTATTGGACCGCGGCCAATTGACTTAATTGAATGATATTATATTTAGTAAATTGAACCGAGCCCATGAGTTAAGAGCTTGGCCAAGCCCATAATTCCTTTGAATAAGCCGAAATTCATATGTGGTGCCAAGTTGGAAAATTGATTTATTTAGGGGCAAGGTGGAAGAGCAATTTCGCCTGATAATATTGCAATTTAAAGAAATATTAAAAATAGGAAATAAAATTTTTGGTGCTCTCACAATATCGCATACTCGGTCTTTAAAGAAGGAAACAGGGGATTGCGTCCTTGTGACGCCCTAGGTAAATCCTATTCGAGGTAAGCCAAGGCGGGGTGCAATTTTATGTGGGTTATTCTTATTATAAATTTTTTATTGCATGTAATTAGATAATATAACCTTGGGTTTATTTAATATGTTTTGACTAGTCCTTATTATTTAAGACATGTTAAGGCTTCGACCTTCAACACAGTCTTATGCGTGATTGTTATGAGTGATTGATTTGATTGCCTTAAATAACATGTTATCAATTGAAATTGGCAAGTTATACATATAACAAGTTCCATAATGCGTCACTTAAGTTTATTAATCGTCATGCAAATCACACGTCATAAGTTAATTGCATGTTTAACACCTTAAGTGCATCCATGATTTAGGGCTCCCATGCTTAGAATCATACATATATACTTAGGATAGTCTATAGTTTTTATTAATTAAACAAAAATCAAATAAAAATGTCATATAGATTGCATTAAATTTAGTTAATCTCATTAAATTTTTATTTTGAACCAATTAATCTCATTAATATGCATGTCATATATCGTGCATTATTTAGGGTTAATATTTAACTAATCACATCATGTAGATTAATCTCATACATTTGCATATAGTTCTTTTCTCATAAAAAGAAAAACTAGGCTCTTTAATGCTTAGTAAGCCAGATTTACTTGATAGATTTTTCCATAATTGAGACAGCATGTATATCATCGTTTCTTTAGCTTAAATGGGATGCATGGAGTGAATGATTGTGTTGGAAAAACTTCAGTGGAGGTTATCTTCAACAACCTATCTGCTCTGTCAACTAAACATTAGTCACAACATCTCAACCAGCAAGGCATATGATTGATTTGCAGGCACATTCAAAGCACCTGTTTCAGAGAATGGCAATATCATCTGAACTTTCAGTACCTCGGTATATTTCTTCACTTCTCAACCCCTCTCTATTGACTATATCATTCTCCTCAACCTAAGTACCTTTATAGGAGCTTCAGGACAGTCAAATATCGGAAATAATGAAATTATTGGAACTGGAAGTAAACGACGTAAGAATTTTTGGAATCCGTGGGAGAGATGGCATCGGAAAGACTGCTCTTGCCAAGTTCGCATATGACCAAATATCCCTTCGCTTTGACGCTTGCAGTTTCCTAGCTGAGATTGAAGAAACGACGCAGCAACCTGGTGGTGTTCAGTATCTTCAAACCAAGTTTTTTATTTTTTGGTAAGGTAAGAAATGTATTGATTAATCACGCGCAACTTACAAGGGGAATCTTCAAACCAAGTTTTTTTTTTTTTTTTTTGATAATCAAGGTGTCTGC